ACTGGTGGGAAAAAAGGAATTAATTTGCATTTACTTCATTTGTCAAAAAAGACTATATGGCAACTCTCTAGGTAGGTGCCAGCCAGATATGTACTTAAATTGATTCTTCGCCACACTCATCAACTCCTGATTTATTGACGCTTTCAATCAACCGTCCAAAATCATCAAATCCTTAGTAAAAGAAACGTCGACTCATTACAGGATACGCTACTGAGCGTCTCTGGCCTGCATATCAATGAGCATACAGTTTAGTGTACGTGATCAGCTACAATAGGCCTAGAATTCACATTGCTTAATACATGTTCTGCTTTTTACACTTTAATTGACAGCAGGGAAACCTAAGGCAAAACAATTTTAAACAAAGAACTGGAGGTGCTACTTTGACTTTGTCACGTACCATAAAATTATATACCTAACTGCACATGTTATTCAGAATTGTTTAAAGTAAATGTAGCCAATATTTCCCTAACGATACTTCAAATGAACAGAAACGCTTTGTAGTGATATAGATACCTTTGAGATGTTATTTCGCAGTTTTTTGTTGTTAGTTGGTCTTTAAAACCAATGCAACAAAGCAATTTTGGTTAATCCAATTCGCAATGAATTGATGATATCGTCCCAATTGCTTACTATTTATCTGACATGATTTACTAAGTTTATGCTGTTTTGTAAATGCATGTGTTCAATGCTTAAATCACATCAGATAATAACATGAACTATTATTGCTGTGACATTATCTACAAATTGTGAAGTTATGACTTTTAATACCGTACGCTTATACTTTCCTATCGTTTGTTATTTCTTTATACCGTTTAAAGTGAGTATTCGTAATGGTTTAACCCTAAAGGGGCCGGGGCGGAATCCACCCCTCCCCCCTCAACTTTTTTCCGTGTTAGCCTTGATTTTCCGGGACTAGGCGCCATGAAAGCTGAACTTTCTCATTCGTCTTGTACACAGAGCACAATTACCATTCGTACATATGAATAATTAATTACCCATAATTCCAAACCCTTTAACCTATAGTCCTGAAACTTCTTGGGTATGATTATGAGGAGTTGTTCTATGCATGTACCGGATTTTTTGTCGCTCGATGGCTGAGATCTTATGGTGATGGTCAAAATAACCCGGCCCTTTTAGGTTAATACTTGGCGCGTAACATTGTCAACAAACTATTTTTTTTCTGTGTTTTGCTCTGACTGAACCCGAACCTACTCTGATTTGGAGATTAGATGGACATTTACTTGCGCATGTGTTACATGCACAAGTAATATAGCATATGAGTTCCTGGATCATTCATTATTATTTTTATACGGATTCAAGCGGAACAGATTAATCAGTAAATTGTATACTTTAGTCACAAATGTCGGGATTACTTCCATATTATGTCAGTAAAAGTACGTGGACGAGGACTTTTATTTTTTTAGGCACAATCGAGAGAGCAGAAATTCACAGTTGGCAACTGGACGACAGAGTGAAGCGCGAGCATTGAACTCCATGAAATGTTGTTTTTGTAAGGCTGCAGACTGCTATGCCCAAATATATATAGCTCAAGTTGTCATTCAAATGGGCCAATTTTTATCAACTGCAAACTTGAAAAAAAAGGACTTTCCATGGCTAACTCTTGGTGGCGTACTGCATTGTGAAGCGCCCGATTTAAATACCCATTTCCGAATTTCCAAACCGTTTTGTTGGCGGGGCGTCCATTTGAAACAGTTGGCGAAAAAAATCCAAAAGGAATATTCATTGATGCAATATGTGCCCCCTTTTCATAAAAAAAAAAAAATATGATACGCACCAAGGGGAAACAAAAAAAAATCATGATTTTACAATAAACATTCTGTCCTTTCCTTGAAAAACTGATTGGGGAAAAAAACACATCAAGATTGCCCGTTGCAGCCAGATTTTTTGTTAACAACATTTTGTCCTCCACTTAAACGAATTGTGGCCCCACCCCAAAAAGGCAAAATTCTGGAATTCTCGTGTTGTAATACTTCGGTGAGCTGTGGAAAAATGCTAAAAAGAAAGGTGAACGTTCTATCGCCCTTCCCGCCTCTTAACGTCATGACCCCGCCCATAAAAGGGTAAGAATATAATGGCATTGAGGGGGTTTGAACCTGCTGGGGTATCAATAAATGAACATGAGAGGTTCCACGATTTGTATCAAAAATGCATACGGGCCCCTACAATGGAGCCCACTGACTATAACAGCTTTTTTTCTGAGCAGTACGTATCCCCAACCGCACCATTTGTAGTGGTCCCTAATAATGGTTTGTTCTAACCATTCAGCGTACGCGATTGTCGGGTTTTATTTAATTCTGGGCCTATTATTTTTAGATATATAATTACAATTTACCCATCCCGTTCGGTTTAGAAAGCCATTCAGATGGGTGGCCTCATAGTTGTTTTTTTTTTCCATCAAGACGTTGGTGGTGAGGTTTCTGACATTTAAACAAATAGAAATATTACGAGCCTCAGGCCCGTGTAAACAATTTCAAAATGTTTTGAGATTCAACTTTGTGTATGCATTTATGGTGTATAATTCAATATTGGTAGTGCAACGTAGTATAATATTTGCGTAATCTTTAATGGTTTAAACAGATTGTATTGTAAATAATATAACATCCGAGTAAAGTATCACATGATGAATATCATGGTATTATTCAAAATAAAGGGTATAACGAATGACCTTCAATGAAATGAACCGCTTTCCTAGCAATGAGGCGCATCTAAAAGGAATGGCTAGTTTAACCACAAAGCCCGCGTGGCTGGACGCTGCACAGGACGTGAAAACCTGGTAGTCAGCCCACTGACCTATACGGAAATCCACCAAGAATTTGCCCCAGATACAGTGCAGAATGATTTATTGTTTTACTGCTAGATTTGAGGTAGTGGCCAGAGAGTCCCAGGATACGTTTGGTGAGGCACGTGTAATTGGCTGTATGCCACTGTATACTGCGTACACTGTTTTCCCAGTAGGTCGAAGTTCGGCCGAAATTCGATTATCGCTATTTCCAAAAAAAAATGTACCAGCTGTGGGCAACATTTCCTGCCCGACAAATCAAGATGGACGCCAGGCTCATCATATGCTCGATGCTACTGAGTTTCTTGTGTTTGAACGCTTTGGTGATGGTTGCCGTGGCCCAGACGGTGAGTGCGTGGATCGTGGAGCCGCGCAGCAAAGGTGCTATCAAAGAAGGGGATGTGGTGCATATGACGTGTGTCGCGCGCTATTTGTACAAATACCACACATTGGAATGGGTGACCGGCAGCCCGCACTACCACACCCTGAGGTGGGGCAAAGCCACCATCACCACCAACCTACGGTTTGCCTTCGAGACCACCGAAAGACCAACATCCCGGCTTTTGGTAATCCAGGATTTCACCATCACTACTGTTAAGAGGGAAGACTCTGGTGAATACGTCTGCAATGTCAAGAACATCAATTCCGACCCAGGTGATAACATAGAGGCCTCCGCTAGAATCAATCTCTCAGTCTTGTATTTTCCTAGTCAGAATTTCCCGATTTGCTTCCCTGACGACCCATCACCCTTACCCCTGGACCGGAGCTGACCATGCGCTGTACGTCTGAGGCAGGAAATCCACCAATCGCTATGGACATTTCACAGGAAGGCCCATCTGATGACCATTCCTGGACAATATCTAACATAAACGGAACCATTTCGATGTCGCTGGAAATAGCGGGTAACAGATCGAACAACGGCTGTGACAGAACCAATGATAGAAACCACTTCAGAATCCACCTCAGATCTCACCAGAGAAAAAACTCCAGCAATATATGACACAGTCACCTTAACACCGGCACCTTTTATGACATGTACGGAAACAAAACCCACAGAAATATCACTGTATGCGACCAAAGCGAAGCATAGGTCCACACTGGATTCCACACACGCCGAAGCAACAGCAACCACCTCGGTAAAGGTGACAAATGAACACACAGCCGATCCTGAAGCCACCTCATCTAAAATGTTTGGAACAGTCCACGATGATCATACTGGTGCGATCACTACGGTGACCTCTGAACCGACTTACAACCTTCTGACCTTTGCTACGGATGACCCTTCACCCTTGACCCCGTGGATACCAGCCTTCGTAGCCGCGACCAGTGCCCTCCTAGTATCCATTATGACCATCGTTATTCTTGTTCTTTGCCTCATCAAACTGATGAAACGACTAAAAGCCTCTAACGATAGTGAATCTCAGAACCCAATAATCGAGCCGTACATGGAGCTACAGCCAACAGACATCAAGGCATGAAGAACACAAAGAACACATAACAATGCAAAACGGGTCAGATTTGACCTCGAATAAAATTCATATTTGACCTGCTACTTTTCCGGGTCAAAAGTGTCCTGTCAAATATGACCCGGATTCCTAGACTTTATCCTTTGCACGATGCGCCCTCATTGAGGGCAGTTTTTGTCATTTATAATTCTGAGTGACAGTTGAATTTGTCTATTCATGTGAATCAAAAAAGGAAGGATCAGAGACCCGCCCTCAGATTTGACGTCAGATGCAAAGAGTTTATAGAGTAGGTTTGATAATAAGCCAGATCGATATTAATTAATTTAGGTTTTGCCCTTCACCGACAGATCGATATTCCAGCTGATATTATTAATACATGGCAGAACTGAATATCTTAACTTCATCATTATTTTTGCCTTTCTTTACATAAATAATTCACAACTGGACTGAACAACGTCCAATGAAATAGTCTCGTACTCGATAATCTTGCGTTTGTAACTCAATAACATGATTCACTTTCCCTGTGCACTATTACTAGCTTATTTCGCTCACTTATGTCACATCACTCGTAATACTTTAAATAATACAGACGTACTATGGGATAATATGTACAGTCCATTAATTTAAATTGAAAAAGATTTGCTCTAAAGCCTAATACATGCATTCATGAGAAGCTTTAATGACATTATGGCTCATTTGTTTGGTCGGTCCATCCACAAAACAAAAACCCGACTCTAATCTCGAGAAGTACGGCTGTGTCGGTCGGAAGATATCTCGGCGTTCCGCGGCGCTGTGTTTGGACGACAGCAGAGAATCCGAAGAAAGGCCGCCTTGAACAGAGGGTTGCCGACGGCGTAGCAGAACGGATTCACGGTGCTGCTGAAGTGAGACATCCAACCCAGATACTGGAGGGAAAAAAAAACCCAAAGAAACAACATTTGGGATTATTGGACGCTACTCTCTATAGAAAAAAAATGGTCAGATTGGCCCGGAATTCGTGTTCTATTTGGCTTAACCCTTCACTGGGTCAAAAATGATATATTTCCAGGTCAAAGGTGGCATTTGTCCGTGTTATGTGCCCTGGAAACATTTTTGGAAAGAAAGGTGTTAGTTTGACCCGGAAGGTGTATTCTTAACCCCGAAAAAGCCAGGCCAATTAGAAGCCGGTTCCAGCTGACTTGGACGTTTTTAGAGAATACAAGGCACTTGTGCATTTAAAGGGTGCAATTTGCAGTGCCACTGAAAGATACAGGAAAGATAAGCGACAAATGGCTCTTTTTCATGTCAAATCTAAAGAAAAAGGTGTGCTCGGCCTACACTTTAAAAAGTCCCAGAATACGGGCGATCCCAGATGCTGTGCGCCACCAGCAGTATTCCACGGAGAGTCAATTGTTTCAACTTTACGGTCGACAAAAACAAGGCCGACGTGCCGCAATTTGAACGAATGTCAGTAGACAACTTGAGGAAACTTTTGATTGATCGGGCACAGAATTCTGCCGCCTCACAAACAAAGCCCACCATCTTGATTAAAATATTCTAAAAGAGAAAAAGATATTCGAATCATTCGCTTACGAAATATACTGACCAGACAAACTGACAATTTTCAGTCTCTCGTACCGGTGAATTTGTCCAACGTCTCCCACAATGCACTGGAAAAAAATAAACTCTTCCTTGCAACTTCTTGGTGGCGCAATGTATTAATGTCATGTGGTATGATACTGGGTCAAACGGAAACCGTTTGGGTCAAAATGACACTTTCCTGGGCAAAATCACATCTTGCAAAATGTTTCTGGGTTTTCTGGGTTAATTAAAATATTCCAGAGAAGTATCGTTTTATTTAACCTGGAACAGTGTCATAGTTACCCCGAAACGTATCCGAATCAAATAGGACCAAGGACTCTCTTGTGTGACTCTTGTGTGTAAACTTTTTCGATTTCAATCAGAAAAAAAAATAGTCAGAGCAAGTAAAAGTTGTCAGTTTATTATTTAAATATGAAATAAGCATTAGCTTGGGGCAAAAGAGTAAAATGTTCCCTCATCTTTGCAATTTGATTTGCAACAAATGTACTATAGAACTGTCTGTTGTCATTTTACTTATGAATCTAACGTGGGTATATATTGACCAAATTAGAAACAATGTTGGAAAAACGAATTTCGAAAATATATAAATTGATAGAAAAATTACACTTACATTGAAGACTGTGTTATACCGCAGTGGAAGACCAAGCGGATCGATAGCTGCCCACAGAGCAAAGACGGACCAGGGTAAGGCGGATACAATCATGGTCGTGAGGATGTAGGTGAGTGTGCGAGTAGCGCGTAGGCTAGCCAGGCGACTCTCGCGTCTAGACGCCCGCCCTGCAAAACGCGCCGGTGCACCGGTGCTGCCACGGCGGGGAGGACCGGTCGAGGGCGTGGTTTCTGTCAGAACCGGCCCGGGGAGACTAGGCTGATCACTGGCGCGATGAACGTCCTCCTCGGTCTCTTCGTAGGCTGGGTTAGCAAGTCCTTGCGATAGTCCGGCAGAGATGCTGTGCACACGACCCTCCGAGCGGGTCTGCTCTGCCGGAAGCTTCTTCACTGCAGCCCGTTCACTAGTCTCGGTATCCATGCGATAGCTCTTCGACCGAGGATCCCGGGACTTCGCCTCCGATGCTACTCCCTTTGACTTATTTTCAGAGACTGCCTTTTTGCCAGTCACTCCACTTTTATCCATACCTTTGCGGATGACGGCGCAATATACGAAAGCGTACAAGATGACGGTCGATATCATAGGTACCCAGGATAGAACCAATATGGTGAATATAAGCAAGGCGGGATAGAACGCGTATGGACCGTAACATTGGGGAGGTTGCACCCGTGAAATCGCTCCGGAGTACGGTAGAATTATGATGATTGTAGTCCATAGAAAGACTGGTACAATATAAGCAAGGAATATCAGCATACACGCGTGGCGCAGCGTTTTCTCCGATAAATGTTTCAGCGGCATGTTGGTCGCTCGGAATCGATCGTAGCAGATCGTCAGAGTCATCAGGAAAGTCGCATGCAGGAAGATGTGATCGACGCACGTGAAGCAAGCGCAGAAGGCCTCGCTGAAGGGCCAGTCGTTGGAAAACTCCCTGTAGACGCCTCGGATCGGCAAAAACCCGCCACTGACCAAGTCTGCAATTGCTAAATTCACGATGTAATAGTTGGTATACGTACGGAGCTTCTTCGTCGTGGCGTACGCGTAAAGGACTAAAACATTAGCCAGAATTGTGACGAGTACGACAATTGAGCGTAAACTAACCATAACGAAAAACATTGCGGGTTTTCCGGATACCTCTGAGAGAGAAGTCGGCTCAGTGGTATAAAATGGATTGGACCAGAAGCCGTTCGTGTATAAGCTTTCATTGATATCACTTGGTATTGTGGAATTAAATCCCTCACTGGATTGTAATAATGTACTGATTGATTGCGAGCTGCTAGCATTGGACCAAAAGGACTGATTGTCCTGATAGGAGACATTGCTGGAGTCCGTTCGTTCGGTGAGCAGCCAGCTTGTAGTGGTCTCCATGATACCGAATTATCTGCACTCGGATCGTCAGAAACTAATCTTGATGCCCGATAGTCGCGTCAATCGCACGGAAAATCACACGTACGACACAATGAGGATGCTCCCGAATGACAAGGTGATACAGTGAAGTTTATGGGGACTCTACGGGCCCCTTTATGAAAATGCTGAGTTATGTGTGCCTTTTCTGAGTCGAAGCTGTTTAGAGTCAACGTTGTATTGGAATTAGTTCTCAAGAGCAACGTAGTCCGAAGCTTTGCCCACTTCGTAGTGGCAGTACAAGTTACGTTATTACATGTAGCTGTAATCAGGAAGGGCATGCGACACCGACCAACGATTGTGTCTGCCTATGAGGTACGTTAGGAGGAATGCTTGAGAATTGGCGATTGAGTGTACAAATGTTTTTCCCGTGGGAAAACCGGATAAACATCTCCTCCTAGTTGAAAGTTATCTTATTTTCTCGCAAAGGCGGTAGTGTTCGTCGACGCAAAGTGCGGTCTGTCCGAACGTTTTGAACACGACTAGCACGCAGTGCGCTCTTATGCATAGATTCCCATCAACGAAAAGCCTGCCCGCACTGACCGATTCTTGTATACCGAAGTGTCTTTTTATAGAGTGACTTTTTTGTAACTGCTATCAAATTTGAAGTGACAGTCGCAATTGCGCGTGAAACAAGAAAAATTGGGAGAGACAGACCACTTTAGGTCGTTGTCTTTATCATGTGTATTAGTGATTCTCAATGGTGCTCTTGGAATAGTCCACACAGCCCGTTTTTAAACAAAACAAGCTTGAGTTGAATGACTGCTGATTAAATTGTAGTTTCCTCCAGGAAATCTAATAAAATGGGTGAATGGCCAGAGAGCGTTACGTTGCATAAAACGTAAATGGATGAAACTCGACAAAATTAGTACCCATTACCAGCGCATTCATTAGATTTGGTAGTCATTTTTGTCGTGTTTCGCTAACTATTATAAACACCACGTGATTTGATTTGATTAAACAGCCAACTTGTTAAGTAGCACGGCTAGATAATGTATCAGGCTTACACAAATAAAGTGCTGGGTAGGGAGAACCATGCTCTGGAAAACAAAAGGGTCCATCAGCGTGCGACTGTTATTTGAGATAGCTTCCGATTTGGGTTGTGGATTTTTGCAGGAACGAGAGGACAAGCCTATTACCCTCTGAGTAACCGAGTATCGTATAGGGAAACTGGACAGTCGAGAGGGTATGGATATCTGATTTAAGGTGGTCATTTACATGCCAAAAGGCCTTTTTCACACTGGACAAATCTCGGGGTTGACACTGGGTTGACGCAGGGTTGAAAACATGGCGCGTTTCACACTTGAAAATTTCAACCCTGAGCCAGCCCCGCTTCATCCCCAGGATTGATTTCGCCCCAGGTTGAACTCAACCCTGCTCCAGACCAGAGTTGAGATTTTCAACCCGGGTTGAAAATCTCATCCCGGGGTTCCAAACGGTAGTAACTGAGCGAAACATGCATGGTTTGCACGAAACAAGTGTGAAATGACGCGGGGTTGAATTCGAGGTTGAACAATCCAAAACTCAATCCCGGACAGCACTGGGTTCTCCCAGGGTTAAGTTCAACCCTATGTTGAGAGGCTCTAGTGTGAAAAGGCCTAATAATGCAAGTTTTACTGTGAGTTTTTGCTTTTAAGACACACAGAAAGGTTCTTACGTTGTTCCAAAATATTTATTTGAATTCTTACTTTAAGTTTCTTACTATATTTTAAATCGGGTGACAAACTGTAACGCGAGGCACCGAAATATATCCCTCTAGAGATTTGGTGACTGATCAATTTTAATAATTGTGGACTGGTGGCGTACGACTCGCATATTAGGAACTAAAACGATGTTTCCACCAGGGCAAAGTAAGAGGAAACTTTCAAATGCAGAATGTTTAATTATGTGTCCATGTCCATTTGATAAACGTATTGCCAAATCAACAGATGTTTATTTTGTTGGCCTCTTATAGTTTGGTAGGTTAGTCACTTCATTTCAGGGATTTGCAGTGAGGAAAATCAAGCCTCAATATTTTAACTTAAAAAAATAACAGGGCTGGACTAAAACTATTCAAAATTGCATTCCAGAGAAAAACAATCACCAATGTTAGTGAAAACTTAAATATTTCATAACACCACACTTCTGTGTCCAAAAGCAACTCGAAAAAAAAAAAAAAAAAACGTGTTATAAGGCCAACAAAAAAAGTCTCCGGTTTCTGGTATGCGCGGGCGTCGCCGTAGCCATGCGCGTCGGCAAAATGAAACAGTTTTTTTTTTCAATAAAAGATGATGTCTCAAAACCGCCAAACTCATTGGTTTGACTGGAATCCTGCTGCTGCACAATTTTAACGTGTTTTTAGATGGGGTTATGATCGAGAATAAGCTTTATGTGGCCTCTCCGGACTCCCATATATTTGCACTAAGTTTAGTCGGGCACCATTTGCAGTCATCAGCCGACATTTGAAGCAAAAAAAACAGGTAAAAAAAAAAAAGCCGCGTCGCCGCACCACTTTTTGGGCAAGCTCCATACCAGAAACCGGAAACTTTTTGGGGGCCTAACAGACAACTATCTGAATTAATATAAAACGCTGGTTAAATTTTAAATCTTTATCCGAAGGTTTTCTCCAAATGAATCTGTAGGATAAGTGCCAAAGCATATGATGTCGCTCTTTCAATATTAATTTACATGAAACAAGAAATAAAAACGTTAATCAGTACCATAATTCTACCGCCCATAACAAAACAACTGACCTTTATCAAAATTATTGCTTAACTGGCTCACATCTACAATAATAGTAATAATAATAATAGTGGATATTTATAAAGCGCACGTATCCACCAGGACTGGTGCTCAAGGCGCTACATCATTATTACCCCTGCTCATTGGGCACATGAAACATTCCAAATACCATCTCAGCTCCCTGGGGAGTATGCAGCTCGATGCAGCCTGTTAGGCGCAAGGAAGCTAATTCAATCACAATAACCATCTCTGCCTTCACAGGTACCCATTTACTCCTGGGTGGAGAGAAGCAATGAGTGACAGAGTGCCTTGCCCAAGGGCACACGCAACATGACCCCGCCAGGACTCGAACCCACAACCTGCAGCTTTACCCGCAGACCACGAATCAGTGCCCTTAACCACGAGGCCACAGTACTCCACCACAGTACTCCACAATGACTAAACTCATTTTCTGCGAGCAGATTCTTGGCTTACGAATGACACTTATGGAAGGTGAAATTGTCATTTCAGTTTGGTCTTAGCTAGATCAGATAGAGCAGTCAAAGGATTGAGAAGTAAATGTAGTTGGATGCCACCCTTAATTTTGACCCAAATATACCTAATTTGCATAAATTAATCCTTGCCGTGTACTATATTTATTCCCATTTTTTTAAAGTTTATTTTGGTGATGCTACTTACACACTCTTATTTAAATAACATTCCTTAAGCATTATAAGTGTCTGAATAATAATGAGGACATAGTAACGATCCGAAATGTCTACTGTTAGGCCCTATATCCAATAAATTGAGTGCATTTACCTTGTCTCTAGATATAATCAAGTAGTCTTGCCAAACTTGAGTAGTGATGAGCTTCAAATTCACCAAGTTGCCTATTGAAAATCATGTGAACAATGATATTATCATAAGTTAGATCAGCAAACACACACGGGGGAAATGACCTGGCTGTCCGTAAACTGGGCTTAAATTAGGCGAATGGTCGGCCAACTTATGAGACTTGAATAAGTTCGAGGAAATCCCCCCCCCCGAAAAAAAAGTCACAATGTTTTCTGTCCATTTATTTTCGTTCCAAATATTTTGGGAATTTCCTTGAACTCCCCCCCCCCATTCCGCGCCTGAGCGTTCACGTCCTGTCCGCTAGTGTAAAGGTGATGTGACTGACGTGTGACTGACCTCGACCAGAGAAAGAGCATTCAAACGAGTTTTTTTGTCGACTGATCAAGCATAACTTGCAGACCTTAAGAACCCATTGCAGGTTTTGTAAGGTAGACAAATCGAAGTGCGTGATCAATGTACACTCACGTGGCCTCCGAAGGAGAAGAAACGTGACCAGTGTTCGCTTCCGAGGAGTGATACACGGATCCTACACACACGGATGAACTCTGAGCTCTTGTACAAAATGCACTTAGCTGACTTGCCTTAATTGGGTAGACGCGTGATAACGGGCACTAAAATAAATGCTTCAGGACTTAACAGATGGTATTGTGCAGTTTATGTCGTCATAAATGAAGTATTTACCCAGGAAATAAACGTCAATGTGACACTTTTTTCCGAAGAGGACACCATTGACACAAATTGTGTTATTGTTTAGGCTTTTATTATAAGTTTAGAGAGATTTGGTCCTGAACCGATAAAACAAATGCGACATATCAAAGTTCATTTAAAGATAACGACATTGTGTTCACTTATCAGAATTCACAAGGCCCAAAACGTAGATCATGAATATTCAAAAAATATAATTAGCTGGTTTGATAGACTTCGACAACAGATCGGGCACAAAACCCTGCAAATGTGATGGCCGCCGAGTGCAGTGAAGCGGTTAGGCTGTTTGGGTCTTTGTTGACAAGTATCCATGGTAATTGCCACCTGTACGGGCCGTTATCGCGCGTCTAACCAGGAGCTGGCCAGGTCGTTATTATTCTTTTGTGTATCCTTGAGGACAGAACCCCTCCCCATGTTAGCTCACTCCCTCAACAATTACGGTTCACTCGCATTTCAAAACGGCATTTTTTTTCGTTCTGGTAAAAAAAAAATGGATTTCTTAAAAGTGTCCTAGGACTATAGCTCGAAATCCTGAAGAAACATGTAGAGAGAAGACAATGAGAAAAAGTACAGTTTTAGAGGTGGGCGGAAAAGCCCAGATAAATATTTTGAGAAAAACCCACGGAATTATCAGGTGGGGACTGAAAACCTAATCCACATATTGAACAGGCGGGATTCGAACCCGGGTCACAGCGGTGGAGGACGAGGAAAGTACCGCTACGCCAACCTGAATTCCAACCACGTTTAACACATCAGATTGCACACTGCAAAGTTACATCCTTTATAGATAACTTCCGCGCGGTGATTAAAACCTGGATCTTATCATATCATCTGAAATGGATAAGCTGCTTTACAGCGGATTGTCAACGCACCAGTTATTAGTTCTCATTTTCGCTTCTCATCAGAGGAGATTCAAGCCAGATGTAAAACTTTGGTTCACACCGCCCGAACTATCATAGTCGGGGCCACTGCTGTAGTTGAACCGTTACACATTTAAATAGGAAAGGTATACCCTGTTCACAAACAGTCCTGAAACAGCAATGGGCTTATTTAACTGTATGTTTCTCTTTAGAATAACCAGTTTCCCATAGATTCGGCTTTCTGCTGGATGTATTATTATATCTATGAATATCAACTTTCACGTGTGAGAGAAAACCTTGATCCAAGACCATATTTTGTTAATGCCCCATTTTATGATAGCGCGTAACATCATGTGAGGCCATTCAGATCGCTGTCTGCTAGAAAAGATTTGTCTTTGTTTTCATCCTTTAATCTTCGACCTCGCAGTCACTGATTATGTAACTCCAGTTATTAAATCAGTATATTTGTCCCTATTTGTCCGTACCTAACTCGCAAATCGATTCCTTGGGACTGCAGATTATTATGCTTAACTTATCAGTCAACAAAAAAGTTCATTATATTCTTTCTCTAATCGAGGTCAGCGTTTGAAATAACTTTATTCATCATCCGCCTGCCCAGCCATAGTTGTCGTCAGTTACTCACCTATACACCAGCGGAGAGGACGTGAACACATCTCACTGGTTTACACCACAATCACCATCTGTTTGGAGAAAACAAATATACCACAGGTAGAAGCACCAGGTGTGTATTTCCTTGTTATCGTCTTACAAAGAAGCTTGTATTTTGTTAAAACAAAGTTGAATATTAATTGAAAATGTACTGAGGTAACTGAGGGAATAGGTTGTTTTTATCAGCCTGTAATGGTTTAGGTTGCATATCCTTTGTTGATTGTCGTCCTTTATCAGTGGCGTAGCCAGGAATTTTCAGTGGGGGGGGGGGGGGGGGGGGGGGGGGGGGGGGGGCCGCTGGGGGGCTGGAACATTTCATGGGGGGGGGGCGTCATGTAGATCAATGATTTTTTTTTTAAACTCCAAATTTCAGTTGGGGGGGGGGCCGACGGGGGGGGGGGGCCGACAAGGTTTCAGGGGGGGGGGGGGGCTGTCGCCCCCACGCCCCCCCCCCGTGACTACGCCACTGTCCTTTTATGGAAATCAGACATGATTGTCGTGGTATTAACTGAATCAGTGGTGCTGTGAATGTGACGATGCCTAGCTATGACCAAACTGAAATGAAAATCACACCTTCACATAGATAGAGTCATTCGTAAGATAAGGAAAAGCCTGGAGAAAATTAGATAAGTCATTACACAGCGTGTCCCCCCCCCCCCCCCCCCCCCCCCAAAAAAAAATAACTGAACCCGCAAAGCGCCCCCATTTTCACTGCTTTAAAAAAGAATATACATATGTGCATCGAAATATCGATACATATTTGGGCAGCATAGTTCATTAGCTTTTCAACAACGAAAAACCTTTCCAATCGGATAAATATTCATTGAGTAATGGCCATTTCGTTACAGATGGCGGCAGGAAATCACTTGATTCCCCTGGTAGGTTTAATCCTACTGATCCACACCGTTTCGTTCGCCTCGGGCCAGGATCATGATATGGATGTTAACTTACAAGTTTGGTGGGTTTGTTGGAAAGTTCCAGGTCACTTTTCATCGAAATGCAAGCTTTTGGTACTTTGACGTGACCTTCCCAAGCAATGTCTTCGATTTGAGGGTAAGTGGTTTCTGACAAATATTGAAATCATTTACAGCAATGCGGTTATTTATAAAATGACAAATTACTTTCGTTCTGCTTTGAGTCGTCACTTGTTCTTTCTTAACTTGTTCTAATTAAGCACGGATCCTACAGACAAGGATTAACGACTCGGCCAAACTCCTGGTTACAAGCGTGATAACGGCCCGCACTGGTGGTAAATACCATGAATACTTGCTGTCGAACCAGCTAATTATATTTTTGAATATTCATGAGTCTACTTTTTGGTCTGTATTTTTGAATTCTGATAAGGGATAACTACATAACCATGTTAACGCCGAGCACAATATCTTTAGCTTTAAAATGAACCATGAAATTTCGCATTTGTTTTATCGGTTCGGGACCACATCTCTATACAACTTTTTAATAAGAGCCTAATTGACAACGACATTTGGGTAAATGGTGTGCTCCTCGAAATTTGAAATTTATTTCCCGGGTAAATACTTCATGTATGACGACAAAAACTGCACAATACCATCTGTTACATTCTGAAGTATTTATTCTTAACAATGTTGGAACAATTACATATAAAGGAGGTTTGCTCACAGTTTTATAAATATTCTTGTTAAAGATGTCAGGCAGAAACCCGACACAATGACACACCTGGAACGTTCGCGATTAACATGCCAACGGGTATGAATGCCCGTGATCACGCGTCTAACCAATTAAGGCAAGTCCGCTAAGTGAATTTTGTACAGGAACGGAACAGTCGTTTATCCTTGTGTGTAGGATCCGTGTATTAAGTGGACCCCGGAACCCACGCCGTAAGGGTTCAGCGTTTGCATTTGGGTTTGTAAAGGCAGGTCAGACTTGCCCCCCCCCCCCCCTCCAAATTCCTGGCTACACCACACGGTGTGTCGTGCCTGCGCTGACATTCAGTTACGCTCAATGTAGGTCGTACTAAAACTATACACTTTTTGGACTGGAGAGTAAACAATACTACATTGCAACATCGTGACGCAACTGCGTAATTTGATCTAATTGTTGGAACGAGTCTTTACTATGGATTATTACAGACAACTGACGCTGTGGCAAAGGTTGGGACGGAGAATCACCGGTCGTATTGCTTCGCCGACCTACCCTGGAGTAGAGTCGCTCAGGATGGGGACGTGAAGGAGGTCTCGTTCTATGCCAAGACTTGGAGAAAGGTCCGCGGTCTGAATTCCAGCGTCACAGCGACCAAGGCATTGCCACAAGACCGGTGTTTCCGGCAGTGCGCCTACGGTCCCTTTACAACAGTGTCATTTGCCGGATGAAATGTGTAGCCTATCGTGAACGGCCTGTTCTTGACACCACCGACAATTATGTATTCGACGATCACACAACAATAGCAGTCCTTAGCAGATCAAAGTCTCCGACTAGTGGATACGGTTTCGTAGGTACACGAGAGAATATATGAGAGATAGTAAAATGAACCCATGAAGGGTCGATGGACTAAGTTTGCTTGGAAGCTGATTTCGGAGAATAATAAATGAGGGCCCTAAGCGATGACGTCAATTACCTCTCAACAGAACATGATAGATAGCGGGAGATTATTTTGCTGTCTTGACCAGAGTTCGATTTCCAAAACCATGACGTAACAATTGGCCAAACAATAAACATTATGTATGCATTGTTTCGTTACTTAAATCACCTCCCACGCGTTTGGATTTGCCTGCTGCCATTTCGTTGCCCCACACCCAACCCCAATCGAAATTTGTGTGGTGATGCCGATGATTTGGCTTATGAATAATAAAGAAACTTTCATTCATAAACAATCATATACATGCGTTTACTTGTTTATAGGCAACGGACGGATCGAATTCAGCGGAATTCGCATTCGCAAGCTACAGTAAATTAGCGGATGGGTATGGTGCGCACTACTTCAACACAAAGGAGCCGTTCCTGTACCCTGCTCCAGACGATGTCTATTTGCTCGCTCTTGGATGGGTAATGCAGTTAACTACTTGTCGGGCTCACGTGCCTGCTATTGCTCAAATGGTCAGCCTGTGTAAAATGGCAGGTACAGTGGCGTATGAAACTTTTGATGTGGGGGGGGGGCAACCGCACTCGCACATTCGCGCCGAAATGTAGACATGTTTGGTGTTTTTTTTTTTTTCTCCAGACACTTCAAGGGGAGCCCATACACTCCGAAGGTGATTCAGTTCACACACCTGCTGAATCCTCATTCCAACTGCTGACTGGTCCTGAAGGGGACGCTTGTGTGATGACCCTACCGGATGACTCTTCCTCGACTGCACAGGTCGAGTCTACTTCCTCGACTGCACATGTCGAGTCTACTTCCTCGACTGCACAGGTCGAGTCTACTCCCTCCACTGGACAGGTCGAGTCTCCTTCAAGGCCCAACGGTCTTCATGGTGAGCCAGATGCCCCCCAAGATGGGATGTCCCCCGTCTGCAGCGCCAGATGCTCGAGAGCCACCAGTGGACCCGGAGGTTCCAGAACCTAACACCATACCCAGGACGATCGACATCGTGCTGCCAACTGAGAGTCAGTCCGGATTCCTCGCTACAAGGCACCTGTTGCGTCGTTCCAAGCGGACCACAAAAGGGAAGCCTCCGGTCAGGTACCAATCCAGTGTCAATATACTCTTGACCCAAGTTAAGAACATTGTATCAGGCAACATAGGCACTGAATCTGACTCTGATTAGTGACAGTTCCATTTGCCATCCCTGTGTATTACCAATTGGTGGCACATCCCTAAGTAATTGTTTTAAAGGAAAAGCGACATTAGTTGCACAAGTTGAACTTTCTTGTTCAATGAACGTTACGGTTTTCTTGTTCCATAACTATTTGTTACTGTTGGAAGTTATTAGCAAGTGATGTTTTTTTCAGTCAACTGTTATTCTAAGCTAGAGAATGTTTCATCTGATCGTCGTCGGGGGCGACGACGTTGTGGCTCTTGGAGGAATGTGGTGTTGCTCTCGGAAAAAAAAAACTGTGGTTGGTGGATGAGTGGGGCGCCACCGTGCGGTGGTGGTTTTCCCGAAATCTTCCGTCACCGCATGGTTGCGTCCTACAAAATCTGCCAACTCTGGTACATTTTTATCGTGTTTTTGCCAATGATGTTTCTTTTAACAATGCTTGTCTGATTTAATAAGCATTGGAGTTTATGATATAAAGAAGTAGAGTTGACATTGTGTAAAAGCAATTAATTTCAAGAAACGAAGATTTGTTGATTTTGCAAACATGGCGACTTCGTTTATCGATGTATACTTGTGGGCGTTGTGCCAAGCTGGATAACGTGGGGCATAAATCTCCTCTTGATCTTTACCCCTGGATGTAATATTCTGGATAAACATAAGGAGTGACTTTAAGCTTAAGTGCATGTACAAGTGTAGTTGTTTTTGCCACAAATTAAGCTTTATTCTGGTGAAATATTACTGTGAAATCTGCACCCATGCAGATGTTGAATAGCGCCCTCTTGTGTTTGAATAGTCTGCTCATATGTTGACATGCACAAGTAGGAGGTCACTAATTGAACAGGAAATTATGTATTGTGTTTTGGGACATTAATCAGAAAGTTTAAGTGGAATCTGTTAAATATTCATGCAAATAATTTTATTGGGACTTGACTGTAATTTAGTTTCTGCAAAGTCTCTGTGAATTAGCTGCATTTGTGTATCTGGGAATTTAATGACATGTTTCTCGTATACAACCAAGTGGACTGTTAACAATTTTAATTCAGGTTAACAATCTTATAATATTTTCAGTGGAAACATCAGGGTATAATTCTAGTGTGCTCTTACGGTTTGTAGTGTGGAACTGGGGGACGCAACCTCTCTACATGTTCACATTAATTTTATTGAATAATTATTTAATAAGTGGTTTTTTTAATCTTTTCTTCCTTTATGGTGTTTCCCGAAATCTTCCGTCACCGCATGATTGCGTCCTACAAAATCCGCCAACTCAGAACCCAAAGTGGAGGGAAATTAAAGGGACAGTTCAGAATCATACCGCCTCCTGACTCTCTTCCTTCCTCATCCCAAATCCATCAGCACCCCTGCTTCCTGTAGTAGTCCTAGCCCCATCACCATCATTTACTATCCGTCAACTGTTCTCGCCGTAGGTCACTTCCCCCCCCCCCCTCCACCTCCCTCCACCCCCCCCCCCACATTAACAAAAGAAGAGCACTTTTTACGAATATTGGAGGGGGTGGTGAGCGCTGCTGAAAACAAGGGAATTTGACTGGAAAGGAGCAGTCTTTACATAACCAGCTTTATATAAACCTCCTGCTAGCTACACCTATGCTAGTCGGCGGTCAACTCATGATACTCACTGCAAGAATAAAACTAGAGACGATACGCACTTGGAATCATCAAATTAAGCCATCTATACAGCTGCAACTGTATTTTTTTGAATATTGTTTTTTTGACCGACCGACTACTTTCAAGGCAACACAAATATAAGAAACCATTGAAATGAAGAACACCGTCATGAAAAGCGCATAAGACGGTCAGGCACACACACACACACCCACACACACATGTTTGTGTGTGTGTGTGTGCCTGACCGTCTTATGCGCTTTTCAAAACGGTGTTTTTCATTTCCATGGTTTCTTATGTTTTTTTGCCTTTGAAGTAGTCGGTCGGTCAAAAAAAAAATATTCCAAAAATTACAGTTGCAGCTGTATAGATGGCTTAATTTGATGATTCCAAGTGCGTATCGTCTCTAGTTTTATTCTTGCAGTGAGTTTATCATGAGTTGACCGCCGACTAGCATAGGTGTAGCTAGCAGGAGGTTTATATAAAGCTGGTTATGTAAAGACTGCTCCTTTCCAGTCAAATTCCTTTTTTCAGCAGCGCTCCCTCCCCCTCCAATATTAGTAAAAAGTGCTCTTCTTTTGTTTATAAGTGTTTTTTTTTTTCATAACAAGTACCCTTGACAAAATATCGTGCCCTTTCTTTGTGCCATCGGCCGTCACTGGGGCCATTTTATGAATTTCGCGCATGTTTTGCACTGAAAAGCACCATACATGTATATTGCCGTTAGTGTGCATAATCGTCAGTTTGGACTTTTACGGAGGAAGAACACATGTCTACAATTTTAGCGCGGATGTGCAAGTGCCCTTTTCAGGATATCTTTATTCCCACACCCAACCAAAATGAACTTGCCACGCCCCTGAATAATTATTGGGCAAGATGTAGTCGACTGAAATGTTATCTGCACCAATCAGCTCACTATAGTGTAATGTTTTGGCAGTAGTGGCAGCCATGACATACCAGTATAGGTATACAAATGACACCTTTGATGAGAGGCAACATCCTCATCTTTTGGGATTCTACTGGTAGTGTACGCTGTACGGAATCTAGTACATGTATCGTATCTTGCCTATACGCGATTTGTATGCTTTTCATACCACAGAGAGGCTGTGTGTCATTGAAGAGGTTGTGGAATGCTCGAAGACTTTTCCGTCATTTTTCGGGTATATGTAGCCTAAGGTGTGATGAAATAAAAACGACTATTGTGTCTGTCATGAAATGAGTACAAAAGGTACTTTCGAGAGCTGTTTTTCAGGTCCTGTTTCGACCCGAACGTGCAATTTGTGTAAAAGTCGCCGTTGGGGGCAGCAAACAAAACATAGTAAATCGCGACGTAATAAACAGGACTCGTTTATACTACGCTGCATCGGGAGTCCTGTTTATTACGTCACGATTTACTATGTTTTGTTGGCTGCCCCCAACGACGACTTTTACACAAATTCCACGTTCGGGTCGAAACAGGACCTAAAAAACAGCTCTCAAAATTACCTTTTGTTCTCATTTCATGATAGACACAATAGTCGTTTTTATTTTATCACACCTTATAGGCTACATATCCCCGAAAAATGACGGAAATGTCTTCGAGCATTCCACAACCTCTTTACATGTAATGTACTTGTTTTGTACTCCCGTCGGCCGGAGGTTTTCTGGCTTTTTAGTCATAAGCATTTCCATAATGAATCATTTAATTAAGAACTAATCAAGGAACAGTCTGTGAAGTCTGATAATTGCAGTTTCACTAACGAATGAGCCTGTCATTCTCCTTAATTAGTGGGCGGATCTCCGCCTCTGATTAATACAGCAGGGCCAACTGGTACAGAAAAGACAATGGCGTCGTAGACAGGATAGAGGCGTACTTCAGTCCTGCTGATGCACTGCTAAAAAAAATGGAATTGATCAACGCTCAATTATAATAAGCGTTAATCAGAGCCAAGGTTTTTCTTAACCTTGCGCAGAGTGACCTGTTGCCCTTTGGGCCCCAGGTAACCGATTTTTTTTTGAAATAAAAAAATTGAGGGCGAATGACGGTCACCTTTCATCTAATCCTCATTCGAC